AAAAAAAAAAAAAAAAAAGCCCTCAGCCTCAGCTTCTTTGTGCCCCTGATCCCCCCAACGTGCACTGAAGCCTGACTGGAGCTGCCCCCTCTCCCTTCAGAGCTCAGTTCTGAGATCTCCCACTGGCCCCTCCCTCTCCCACTGGCCCCTCCCTCTCCCACTGGCCCCTCCCACACACACAGGAGCCGGTCTTCCTTTTACCCCCTGTTGATCTGTATCACTTCCTAAATGTAGTCATGATCATGTTAAGCCATCAGCTGTTCATATTAATTATGTTTATTTTGTTTAATTCAGAAAACTTACAGAATCAGAGACACAAAAAGTTTTTACTTTTTTAATTATTTCAGCATCAGTCTGTGCTTTACTTCATGTCTTCATATGAAGKATAATTAACCCTTACACTGCTGGAGGAAGTCAGACTCACATGTCTGATCAGTTAATCTGTGATCCACTCAGTGGGTCTAGTGAACAAACTGTGAACGTGCATTAATCCCAGATTATTTACAGCTGCTTCAGTGAAGCTCCTGGACTGATTGTTTTCTACAGGCTTATTAAAAGGCTTGGTGTTAGAGCAACAGATTACAGCTGCTGATAATTTGAAGGCTTGTTCAAGCTCAGCTTACAGCTCAGATCCTGACTGTACAAATCTGACTTTTGTGAAACCTTAAGTAAACAATTTAACTGTCATTTCCAGCTGCTGAAACCAGATGTTATGGACTTTAACAATAAGCCTGCAGCAGACCTCCAGATGGACTGAAGACCACTTCCTGCTTTCACATCAGACAGACCATGGAGGATAAAGCCCTCCTGACTGGTGCTCACCAACAAACACCACAACAAAGTTAAATGTCAGACTCACCATATCTGCAGTTTGATCTTCTTTCCTTGTAATTCAACTGTTTTAATCTTGAAGTCTATTCCTGTAAAGAAAAAACAAACATTATCAGATAAGAGTTTCTATGAAAAAATGCCAACCCACAGCTTACAAACTTTTGCAAATGGCATGAAAAGGATTTGAGGAGGTTGTAAAAGGAAGTGACAAATAAAAATATTTAGGTTAAAAAAAGGAAATGACAGTCTGGTTTCTATCAAAGACTCAAATATAACTTCTGTTTCTGCAGTGTCATGTTCAGGCTTTGAGTCAGCTTACACAGTTACAGAGAGATAAATATAATGTTACACTAGTTTGAAACAAAACATTTTAATGTTTTCATTATGTTAGGTTCACTTCAGGGAGAAACATCCATGTCATTTACCTGACTAGTTTAAAACAACAAGCCCTGTGAGTGCTTCATGTTCAGGTTTCATCTGACCAAACTAATCAGTTTATATCACCTCAACCCTCCTGAYACTGTGACGACCTGCTTCATACATCTTGTTTTCTTTATTACACTCAAACATGATCAAAGTTATTTGCAGCCCAAAAGGATGCAGAGAAAAATAACACGTTTCAAAACTATGAAAACACAAAATGTCAAAGTGGAATAACATCTTTTACAACAGTTAGAAAAGTTCTCATTATGAAGACGTTAAAAATGGAGGCTCAGTTTAACCAGGTGACTCATGTTTTCACACGGAGCTGTCAGGTCTGCTCTGGTCACAACTTGTGTCTACTGGTAGGTAAAAAGATGAAGGAACATGTGTTTTAGTGGGGCGGGCCACCCGCATAATTTACACGGGGGATAGGGGGGTTATAACCCCCCCAATAATTTGATCCAGTCAATATAACCCCCCCAATAAAATTGCATCATTTAAGTATACATATATTACATCAATAATTGATTTTCTTTATTTGTTTACATTTTTTAGTAAAATTGCTGCGTGTTTTAATGCAACCCCCTTCTCCCGAACCCCTCCCCTGCAAAAAACTTGGTATCACCCACCCGCTGTCCGTACATGTGGCCCGGCCACTGCTGCACGGATTATGAGGAAGCAGCTGGAGTGAGTGTGGTTC